TCAGTCAGTAGCTTCAGTTCTGCAAGGATTAGATACCTCCCTTCATTTATAATTGCTTACAATTTTCCTGTCTGCGACTACGTGAACATTACATGAATTGCTGGAAGCCCAAAGCAAAGATTATCTCTGCTTTCCACTAATGGGGATGACATAGTTGTACTGGGCTGCCCATTGGCTTTTTCATTCTTGGATGCATTGTGTGTGACTGGCCTGATGCACAGTCCTTCTAGATCTAGACAGGCACAATGTAACTGCAGACTCTGACACTGCCAGCAGGGAGCCTGATTTCCATAGTTCATGATGCTTAAAAAAATAAACAGGATAAGCCCGTGGTGGTGAACCTGTGGCATGCAGAGCCCTCTCTATGGGCACACATGCCGTTGCCCCAGTCCTAGGCCTTCAGCTGGGTTTTACAAAACTTTTTCGCTTTAGGCCTCCGCCCCCGTGTGCAAAAAAAAAAAAGGTTCAAACAATCAATCAATTTCAACTTCTCACGGGGGAAAAAAAGATCACGCAAAGTTGGAATTGATTGATTGAACTTTTTAGTCCCACCCAGTCTGCCGCTACCACCGCAGCCACAGCTGCCCAATAGGCCATGCCCACCCAATTGGTCACACCCAGCCAATGGGCCACGCCCACCCGGCACCCGATGATACATAAGTGGGTTTTGGGTTGCAGTTTTGGCACTTGGTCTCTAAAAGGTTCGCCATCACTGGGATAAGCTGTAGTGTACCTGCAATATGGCAACGGAATAGCAACAGATTAAAGCATTGAAATGTTGCTAGAAATGGATTATGGACACACTTGCAATGCATTTTTATAACATACTTGAAGATTTTAAACATCTTATTATGGCTTTTACAGTTGCCTTCTGATTTAAAGTTAGGTTACAGAAATAAATAACAAGTAAAGTAACAATAAGCAATTCACATAAAACAAAAACTATTCAGGTTGAACCAATGATGATTATGGGCCTATTTTTATTTTGACTAAATCTGGATTCTACTCTAAGAGTTAAAATATTAACTATGTTAAAAATATTTTTGAAAACCTTAAATTTCATGTTCAGGAATATATATTTGAAGAGTGTTTTCTAAATAATATGGATGAATAAATAACATCTACACAGCAAAATACATAGCTGCAATGAAATGATTCAGATTGTTGTTTAAATCTTCTGTAGGTGGGAGAGGAATTATCCAATGATTTCCCAATACTAGTGAAAGGTATTATTCAATACTTCTACCTCCTCCCATCTGTTGATTAAAGGAGGGAACTATAATTAGTTTTATTTGAAGCACTGGTATGTCCATAAGTCTCTTCGCAATGCAATGCTTTGCAATGCCTGCATCTTCATACATAGACACACACACACACATTTTATGTATAGGTATAGGTATAGGTATAGGTATAGGTATATGCATAGACAATGGCTAAAATGATAATGACAATGATGATGATGATGAAGTATATGTATATGTATCATCATTTTAGCCATTGTCTGTCCCCTGCAGGATGAAGACCTCTTCCCCTATTTCCAACTTATACGGTCCTGAGCTTTCCTTTGCCAGTTGGGCCCACAATACTTGCTGATGTCATTGATCCATCTTGTTTTAAGTCTCTTTCGTGGATGTTTTTTATCAAGTGGGATCCATTCTATGACTACCTTGGTCCACCTGCCATCATTCTTCTTGCTATGTGTCCAGCCCATTGTATATATATATATGTGTGTGTGTGTGTGTGTGTGTGTGTATGTGTGTGTGTATGCATACACATATTTACATAAACTGTGTGTGCGTCTGTGCCTTCTCATCTATCTTAGCTGGGCATCAATGTCAGAAATCTATCAATGTTTTAATGAACACAAAAAGTTCTCATTTATATCAAGCTTTCCACAATAGTTTTTTTTTATTTTTTAAAAAGCCTTACGGGGACTGGAAAGACTAATTTCAATATAAATCTTTTTTTCTTGCATAAAATGTCATCCTGTGCTGCATCTAACAGCATTTTCATATTCATATTTCAAACAAAGTATTTCAACAAAATATCATATTAAAGCTCTCTTGTCACAGACATATTATTGGTATAAAAGTTTCACTGGTTTAGAAATTAAGATTAGATTTTAACTCTTTACCTCTGGGCTGGAATAATGTGATTGCTTGTTGCAGTTGCTTTCTGTGGAACTGCTTTCAGTCTCTGAATCAGATTCGGAACTGCTCTCTGATTCACTTGAACTGCTGCTGAACCCATATTCAGAGACGGGACGAAGAGAGAGAACAGTATAAAATACAAATTAAATCTTATTTTGTTTTTTTTAAATCCTTTTTTTATTAATAAACTCAAGTGTGGACTTTAGTTTGGGAGGAAAAACCTCAAATTTCATAGGAAAATAAGTGAGAAAAAGAGGCATATTTATGGAATGTAACAGGTTTCCTCCCATTTAGATAATCTCCCCTCCATCCCAAACTTCAAAATAAACTCAGTGAAGCTGCTCAATATTCAAGGTAGTTGGAAAACTGAAGGAGAAAACTTGTGATAGGTGTGTATGGAAGGCTCTGCTTAAATAAAATGGTTGCCTGGATTTATGAACAAAAGCATTGAAATTTTACCCTGTAAAATATTGTTGCAAGCCCCAGTTCCATGGTCCTTTTTATATAATTATTACAAGTATATATGTAAAAAGAAAAAAGGTATAATTATTTACCACAACATATAACATTGACTGACTTCATTATAATATTGTTTACCTTGAAGAGGGCTCATTTATTTTGAATTCATAATATTTCTTGTACAAATTGTTCTATGATAAATGTTGGCAAATTATGCCACGGACAGAACTAATACTAAAGAGAAATTAGTTGTGGAACCTGTGCTTAAATTAAAACACAAACTATGCAAACCCTGCAAAAGAAAAGTCTTATAGTTGGAGCAAACTCATGGTTTTGGTAGTAGGCTCTTGCCATGTGCTGGGTGAAATTATAAAAAGCCCTAGTACCGATTGGGTTGCATCTCATTCTCCAGATCCAGCAACTGATCAAAACCAGAATATGGGACACAATGAACTAAGTTTAAATAAAACATTACTCTCTGTCTTTCTGCCTGGTGCATAGTTCCCAGGAGGCCCTGTAAAATGTCTCCTCCTCAAAATAATAGAATCCAATTTAGAACTTCAGGAAAACTGACTTGGAATGTACAGTTGCTAATTAAATAGCCAGATTGTAAAACAAATAAAAGGGTTTAAATATTTGGGCATGGTCTTTCATCATTCCACTAAATGCTCATTAATGACGTCATTCACAAAGCATGCAAAATAGTGGTGGCTACAGTATACAGTCCTTCCCCATAACAGAATATCCCAGTTGCAATAAAGTTTTATTGGGCAAACACACCATGTAATTTTTTTGATGCTCAGCTGGGACCTTATGATCCCATTGAAAAGGGCCCAATCCTGTGAAAAAATGAACTCCCAGCAACAATAAAGTTATCAGCAGCCAGCATTTTCTCAAGGCAGTAGATATACTAGTAGTATCCTTTTCTTCTTCACAGGAAATGCCAAAGCAAGAATGAATTGTTCCCTTATGGTAGGTCAGTGTGATTCTGACAGCAGTACAGCTTAATTTAAGAACAACTGTTTTAATTTCCAGTTGCTTTAGTTGAAAATAAGATTGCTATTTTGCTTGGGAGCACCCTGAACAATATAGCTTGTCAGGATCCTTTCAGAAGAATGCTCTTGAATTTTAATAGCTAGAGGTTGTAAGAGGTTGAAGCAAAGGTTTCAGTAGAAAACATTTCAATCACAATGTGGTATGAAAACCTACCCATGTCAAAATTGTCATTAAAGGTAAGGAAATTCTCATCTTTAGGGAACCTGACAGTCCTATCTAAACCTGTGAGTTAAATAGTACTGTTTCTTGTTAATTTTGCTGAGCATCTTTTGAAATGAAAGATTAAAGATTAAAGCAACTCTATTTTCTACCTTACTGATGATACAATTCATTTACTGAAATCATGAAAATTCTGAAGACTGTTTTAGTTTTTTATACTAATTCATTAACTATGAATTTAATGCCCTATGAAACACCTTTGATTAGCTGGCAAATAAAAATGTAAAAAATAAAACATCAGGGACTTTCCAACATGTAATACTATGGAAATGCTTAAAGTTAAAGATTAATGTATGGCCATCATCAGAGTGACTATTAAGCAGTGGGAAAAGGGATTCTGTAACTATATTGTCACCAGAGAAAAGTCACAGGAACCAAGAAAGGGCATTTTAAGGATATATAAAGATTTTATGAGAAAAAGTTCTCCATTTTTGCTGAACCACAAAAAAAAGAAGCCCTGACTGCTAAGAATAAGTTCAGCTCCCTGACTACTCCTGTATCTTGACTTTGTCCTTGGGATGCTTAAGTCAGAGTTATGCTGACTGGAAGCCATGTGCCACCCAGGAGTGCACACCGAAGGAAAATCAGCTGTCCTTGTACAACCAGGTGTGTGCTATAGAATGTGTGGTGTTCAAAGGTGATATTATCTAAAACAATAAACAAAATCCCTAAACATGGTGCTAAAAATAAAAAAAAAAGTGTAAACCTCCCTTAATAATTAAATCAGAGTGAATATTTTCCAGATCTCCCTTAGGAGATAACCTGAATTAGTCAAGGAAATTAACTCCCAGCTACAAAAAAAACCACAAACCACCACACTGTAAATATTACAGAAAAAGAACTCATGCAAATAGCCTGCTGTCAAACTTGTAAAAAAAGTTATAATTAATTACTGCATTACCAAAACAAATAGCTCTCTCCAAGGACCAAATGCCTGGGTATGTGAGATGAAAGAGTGTTAAAAACTAGAGTTGCATTAACTTCAGGAAGAAGTGATTAGTCAGCAGGTTGACAGCTGTGCTAGGAGACTGATGCCAGATTCCAGGGTATGCTTGTACTTGCTGCCAAGTGTTTGCTTGTCACAACAGATAAATGGAATATCAGCAGTGTTTTATTTGACCTGTTCACAAGAAAAATAAAGTAACCCCCAGGTTCTCTGTGTATTTGTCAATGACCTTGCATCAGCTGTGGTTGAGCAGTTAGATTCCCTGGTCCATATGAGTTAACCCTTTATAGAATTAACTTTGAACTCTATTTGCTTCTTAGTCTCCTTGAAATTGGATGTTCACATATAATAAGAGACAGCTGGTTGGTGCTAGGTTTGATCTTAAGAGTTTTTAATTTTTAAAGGGTCAAACTACATGTTACACTACAGTACTTATTTCCTCTTAAAGCAGGGGTATCAAACTTGCAACATCACATGATGTGTTGCGATGTATTGTGACTTTTTTCCCATTTCTGGCAATGGGATGGGCACGGTTTCAGCATGATGCATCCGGTCCGTGGGCCGGCAGTTTGACACCCGTCTTAAAGGGTACGAGAAGGAGGCAATCAATATTGCGACTGTGAGTGTTTGAATCTTTTATTTAATTGTTAGTGTATTTAAATCCTTTCTTTCTGACTGATTGCCCAGTAATAAAAAACCCACCTACAGCTTCTGTTTACCCCTGCCGGAAAACTCTGGCACAGGTAAAAATGTTTCTAGTTTGTTCCAGCATACAATGAAGTTTAGCAAGAAAGCATAATAGCAACTTTATATGATGGCAGCAGCACTTAAGGTTTCTTAGTTTCCCAAACTGATGGTGATTGTATGTTATTATTATGATTATGATTATCATGTTGCTTGTATGTACACTGAGAGCTTATGTACCAGAGACAAATTCCTTATGTGTGTCCAATCACACTTGGCCAATAAAGAATTCTATTCTATTTCAAGCTTTCAGTGGAAACACCAACCCTTTGAACAGGGCTTAAAAACAAATTGCAGTCAATAAACTGGAAAGAACACTGCTCTTAACTAAGGATCTGTATATATCACAAAGGATGAAAAAAGATTAGACTTACAGCTGGATTTTACAAAAATGAAGGAACCAACCATTTTTGTTGTGCCTTCTTCCCAGCAAGTTTTGGAAGAGTCATCCATTACATTATAATACTACTGAGGTGCCTAATAAGCTTAGTTTGTTTGTTTGGAAATGTTAATACAGGTATGACAACTGAGCCCAAACTTTCTGTTACTGGGCAAGACTGTTGCTAAGTAAGTTGCACCCATTTGCACTTTTTTGCCACAGTTGTTAAGCGAATCACTGCAGTTGTTAAGTGAATCATTCAATCCTTAAATGGATTTGGCTTCCCCCAATGACTTTGTTTCATCTGGGAAGGTTACAAATGGTTATCACATGATCATGGGACAGTGCAACTGTCATAAATACATGTCAGTTGCCAAGTGCCTGCATTTTAATCAGATGACCATACTGCATTGATCATAAGTGTGAAAACTGATCATAACTCACTTTTTTCAGTGCTGTTATAACTTCCAACAGTCACTAAATGAATGGCTGTTAAGTTAAGGACTACTAGTACCATCTAAGGGAGACATGTCAAACTCGTGATGTCACGTGACTGTTTTGCCATTGCCAGCAATGGGGTGGGTGCGGCTTCCGTGTGACGCATCCGGCCCACGGGCCGGCAGTTTGACATCCCTGATCTAAGGAAATAATCTGCTAGAGACATAGGTCAAATAGCCACGTTTTTTTTTTTGTTAAGCTCACAGATTTAGCTAATATGAGTGCTTATCTCTGTTTGATAAACTGCATTTGCTGAAATTATCTCTTACATATTTGAGATAGTCACTGTTTTATTCTGCACATTTATTATTATTAAGGTTGAGCATGGGAAGCTGATGCCACAGGTTTCAGGTGTGTTTTAGATCCAAAGGAGAAAAAAAATGTTGCATTCATCCTATTTTTATTAAAGGTCTTGTCTGCTATACAATTAGCAGATTGCAAGCAACTTGTGATATAGGATTAATGGGTTTCTTTGAAATTAACTATATAATTACTTGGCTTAGAAAACCTGGATCTGCATACATTTTTTGTGAGGCTCAATCCTTGTGGGGTCACATGGGGTCAAACTAATCAATCCTTGACTGTCTCTAGGGAAACTACAGACATGTGTTTAATTCATCTGAAATCATTTGCATTCTCTTGAAGCCTCTTCTAAAAATGATGTTTTCTGAGTAAGCATAGTTTATTTTGGGGCCATAAGCAAACATAATCACAGTATGACTTTTTCTCTTTTTTAAGATTGAGCTCTGTGTGATATTTCATCTATATATTGCACAGTGCATAGTACAAAAAAAAATCCCCCCAAACCCACATGAAGCTAACAAATTGTGATCGTGCTGATAAAGCTTTAAATGGATTGCTATGACTATTGAGATGTTCTAGTAGTGATTAATGTTGTGATTAGTTGAAATCAAAGTACCAAAAATATGAATGAGCAGGTTTTCTTTAAAAGAATAAATTGTAGCCAAAGGTAACAATATAAAACATGTCAGAAGACATATTTGTCTTCCTATTACAAGATACTGCTAAGAATTACAATCCACTCCTAGTCTAATATCTTTACTATTTCAGTTGCTTCATTTTTTACCTTAATCTTTACATTTTTCATTTTTTATTTTAAAAGTGAATCATATCTTCCATCTCTAATGGAATGTAAGAACTATTATTGTTATTTTGGGAAGATTACTAAATGTGACTTACATTAAGCTCTGGAGAACATATTTACATAATTTCCTGTAAATGTATTAAACCAGGGGTGTCAAACTCAATTTCACTGAGGGCCGCATCAGCATTGCGGTTGCCCTTGGGAGGGTGGGGTGTGTGTGGCCAGAGTGTGTGCAGCCTACTGGGTGGGTGTGGATGGAGTGGGTGTGGCCTACTGGGTGGGCGTGGCCAGCTCTACATCATTTGCGTCAAGGGGGCCTGTGGGGGCCTGGGCAGGAGTGGGACAGATCCGAGGGTCTCTCGCAGAAGGGGGTGGGACCGGGGCAAGTGCCAAGGCATGATCCACCGGGGCAAGTGCCAAGATGGCCACCACAAAATTGTACATTGGCTCCCGGCTGGCCTGGGCCAGGGCCAAGGCAGTGGGGGCCGTTCCCTCACTGTTTCCAGGATGGCTTCGCGGGCCATATGAAACCACTTCGCGGGCCACATCCGGCCCCTGGGCCTTGTGTTTGACATGTCTGTATTAAACACTAATTCATTTAAATTTCCATTTATATACATAAGCAAGTAGGTTTGCTTCACTTTTCAGTGTATGTTTATTTATTCAGAAAGCTCTGAGTGCCCAAGGATCTGCTGATACAGTTCTACAGAGGAATTATTGAGTCTGTCATTTGTACCTCAATAACTGTTTGTTTTGGCCAGCAACTAAACAGGACAGGTACAGACTTTAACGGATAGTTAGGATTGCAGAAAAAACAATTGTAACCAGCCTGCTTTCCATTGAGCATCTGTATACTGCACGACCCAAAAAGAGGGCTGAGAAAATATCTACAGACTGCTCAAGTCCTGGACATAAACAGTTTCAACTTTTTCCCTCAGGACACTGCTATAGGGCATTGCATGCCAAAACAACTAGACACAAAGATAGCCCCCCCCCCGTGCCATCACTCTGCTGAATATTCAATTCCCACAGCATTGTCTTAGGCCTAAAGATATCCTTCTCATATTCTCATCTTTCTCATTTTCTCATTTCTCATCTTTTCTCATCTTCTCATCTTTCCTACTACCTTCTCCTATTGGTATTTTATGATTATCACTTGCTGTTTGGATCTTATGATTAATGATACACCAATGCACAGAGTATAAGCAATAAACAGGGTAAACTAGGAATTCAGGTAAATGAGGGCAGATATGATATTGTTGCTATTACGGAAACTTCGTGGGAACAAACCCACAAATGGAACACACAGCTAGAGGGATTTAAATTATTTAAAAGAAACAGACCAAATAAAAGAGGAGGTGGAATTGCTCTCTATATAAGAAATAACTACATCTCTACAGAAATAGAGCACAACAATGATGAAAACTGTCTTGAATGCATTTGGGTCAATATAAAAGGGGGGGAAATGACATTGCCATAGATGTATACTATAGGCCACCCAACCAAACAGAAGAAATAGATGAACTTTTTGCTAGTCAGCTAACTAAGGTATGTAGGAAGCACATCGCAATAGTAATGGGGGACCTTAATTACCCTGACATCAATTGGGAGACAAACTCTGCACCAAGTGGAAGATCAAACAGATTCCTGACAAACCTAGCAGACAACTTTGTCTGCCAAAAAGTAGAGAAGGGAACTAGGGGATTAGCCATATTAGACCTAATTCTCACTAACAGAGATTAAATGATAGAAAATGTTGAAGCCACAGGAACCTTGGGGGGTGGGGAGGAGAGATTATGCAATATTGGGATTCAACATTATGCAAGCACAAGCAATAGAACACAGTCAAACTAGAGTCTTGGACTTTAAGAGAGCTAATTTGAATAAACTTAGAGAGAGCTGGGGAAGGATTCCATGGATGAGAATCCTCAAGGGGAAAACAACTCAAGAAGCTTGGGAAATTTTGAAAAGTGAGATTATAAAAACCTAATCTAGCACAATACCAGCAAAGAAGAAAAATAACAGCTCTCAAAAGAAACCATCATGGCTGCATAAAGAACTCTCTGATAAATTGAAAGACAAAAAGGACAAGTATAAAAAGTGGAACGAGGGGCACATAATTAAGGCAGAATATCAGCAAATAGCCTGAGCCTGCAAAGATGAAGTGAGGAAAGCTAAGGCCCAAAATAAACTAAGGCTTGTGACAAAAGTCAAAAATAACAAAAAAAGCTTCTTTCAACATGTAAAAAACAAGAAAAAAGTTAAGGAAATGATTAGTTCACTAGTGGGAGAAAGTGGCAAGAAGGTGATAAGCAACAGGGACAAAGCAGAACTATTTAACTTGTTTTTTGCACCTGTCTTTACACAAAGGGAAAAAACAGTCCAACCTATCAAAAACAGTACCATAAAAAATAGATTAGAAACACAAGTTAAGATAGGCAAGAAAATAATAAGTGAGCACCTGTCCACCCTAGATGGATTACACCCCAAGGTTCTGAAGGAACTGGCAGATGTGATCTCAGAACCACTGAACTATATTTTTCAAAGATCCTGGAGCACTGGGGAACTACCGGAGGACTGGAAAAGAGCTGATGTAGTTCCCATCTTCAAAAAAAGGAAAAAAATGGACCCAGGAAACTACAGACCTATCAGCCTGATCTCAATACTTGGGAAGATTCTGGGAAAGATAATCAAACAACGAATCAGCAAACACCTAGAGGCAAACAAAGTTATTACCAAAAGCCAACATGGGTTTGTCAAAAACAGACCAAGTGACAAAATTAGTGGACCAGACAAATACCGTGGATATAATTTACTTGGACTTCAGTAAGGCATTTGATAAAGTAGATCACAATCTACTACTTAATAAGATAGAAAAATGTGGGTTAGACAGCATCACCACCAGATGGATTCGTAGCTGGCTGACCAGCCATATTCAGCATGTGGTCCTCAATGGAACTGCAACTACAGGGAGGGAAGTGTGTAATGGAGTGCCCCAGGGCTCTGTTCTGGGCCCAGTGCTCTTCAACATCTTCATCAATGATTTGGATGAGGGGATAGATGAGGAACTCATCAAATTTGCAGATGACACCAAGCTGGCAGGAATAGCCAACACTCCAGAAGACAGGCTTAGGATACAGAAGGATTTGGACAGACTTGAACACTGGGCGCTATCTAACAAAATGAAATTCAGTGATGAAAAAAGTAAGGTTCTACATTTAGGCAAGAAAAACCAAATGTACAGGTATAGTATAGGGGGTACCTTGCTCAATAGTAATAACTGTGAGAGGGACCTCGGAGTCCTAGTGGACAATCACTTAAATATGAGCCAGCAGTGTGCTGCAGCTGCCAAAAAGGCCAACACAGTGCTGGGCTGCATTAACAGAGGGATAGAATGAAGATCACGTGAAGTATTAATACCACTTTACAATGCCTTGGTAGGGCCACACTTGGAATACTGCATCCAGTCTTGGTCACCACGATGTAAAAAAGATGTTGAGACTCTAGAAAGAGTACAGAGAAGAGGAACAAAGATGATTAGGGGACTGGAGGCTAAAACGTATAAGGAACAGTTGCTGGAATTGGGTATGTCTAGTTTAATGAAGAGAAGGACGAGGGATGACATGATAGCAGTGTTCCAATATCTCAAGGGTTGCCACAAAGAAGAGGGAGTCAAGCTATTCTCCAAAGCACCTGAAGGCAAGACAAGAAGCAATGGATGGAAACTAATCAAAGAGATAAGCAATCTAGAACTAAGGAGAAATTTCCTGACAGAACAATTAATCTGTGGAACAACCTGCCTCCAGAAACTGTGAATGCTCCAACATTGGAAGTTTTTAAGAAGAGACTGGTCAGCCATTTTCTGAAATGGTATAGGGTTTCCTGCCTGAGCAGAGGGTTGCACTAGATGACCAAGGTCCCTTCCAACTTTATTATTATTATTATTGTAACTATGCTTTATGATCTAACACTTCTGTTGTTTGTATATACACTGAGAACTTATGCACCTGTGACAAATTCCTTGTGTGTCCAATCACACTTGGCCAATAAAGAATAAAGAATTCTATTGAGAAGGTAAAGATTGTAAGCTTGGAGTTGGTAGTAAAGATTAACTAAAAGAAAATGAGACTGATATTGTCTAAATATTACCATTTCTTCTTTCTCGGGCTGGCAGTTTTACACCTCTGGTGTAGGATCAAGGGATAAGGCTCCCCCTCCTTTTCCTTGCCTTGTATCTATTTCTCAATTCTTGTTTCAGAGTTGGGTGGTTGAGGTTTCAGCCAGGCAGCCTCAACAAGCACTTCCATAATCCCAAGTGAACACAGTTCAGAGTTGCTATGGTAACCATCTCTCTTCCCATCCTGCAAGTCTAATTTTAATTGGCATTATTTGACATGACACTAATGAAATGACACATATATCATAAAACAAAAATGCACTGAGTCATTAGACAGTTTTTAATTAGATAGTCATGGGAGAGTTGGCAGCTGGAGTCATGGCAGCATGGTCTTCGGAGTGCCCCCGCCAGCTGCTGGGCACAGCTGCGAGGTGGGCCAGCCCAGGGACGATGCAGAGAGCCTACGACCAGCCTCCAGAGCTGCTGCCATTGAAACCTTATAATACAGGCGGCGATCAGGGAGCAGGCAGTGTGACACAGTGTAGCAGGACCCAAATGGCAGGCAGAGGTGGCCGCCAGCACTGGCAAGTGATCTGAGGGGTGAGGTGGGGCTGGCGGGGACAGAAGAAAGCCCCTCCAGCAGTAGATGTGGCTAATGTACAGCCACAGTAGAGACTTTTTGTTGTCACTCCCCCTGGCTCCAAAACAGCAGAAGGGAACCAGTTAAGGTGACTGAACCTTCCTTGCCCATCCTCCGTAGCATGGGAGTCTGGCTCGGGAGGGGAATGAAAGAGAAGAGGTGGGCAAGCAGCCAGGTCATTGAACGGATGGGGGGAGATTGCCGAGCAGGGAGTGACCTGTTTGGGCCCTAAGGTAAGCGGGAGTGGGGCACATGGGGCAGCCACCCATCTGACTCACCTCACCTCATGACGGTGGCACCGGTGTGACATACGCTCTCCTGCCCCATTGTGACCACGAGCAACGAGACAGTGGGATGTCTTTTTTATTATTATTGTTTTTCCTGTTAACTATTTTGTCATTAATATACCATATAGAAGACAGGTCAATAATCTGCAAATAGATTTACTAGTTTAAAAATTTTGGGGGGCCCACTTTGCAAAGGTGGGAATCAATATTGTGGTAATATATTAACCAGTATTCAGTTAGAGGGGATAACATATGTATATGTGTTGCCCTTTTTGTTTTCAATGCACTTTTTATGTCTTAATTGTTTTGTGTTTTTTGTTTTTTGTTTTTGGAGCTTTGCATTTTAACTTTCTTTTGAATAAAATCAAAAATAGGAAAAAAATCTGAGTCTATAAATTCTAGGCTTTTCCCACCTACAGATATTTGGCTTCTCTCTTCAAAATCAACTTTTGTTGACATAGAAGGATATAGATTCTAAGGTACCAAGAAATCAGGAACTTGGTAGCATTTTTTTTATTAACACACTTTATTTAAAATATATAAGCTTTCATGGTGTATCTTACTTCTCCTGATGCATGAAGTGGCTTGATTGATATAGAATTTAAAATGGGATGAGGAAACAGAAGGAGAAAGTGAAAGATAAGTAGATTATGCTGCAAATAAGAAAAATGTTATTTGATCCTTCAAGAAAAGAATATGCATCATATCCATAGAAACAAAATAGATGACCTTTAGAAGTAAGTTTAGTGGTAAATGGAAGTATGAGTGGATCTCCAGATGTTACTAATCTTCAACTCCAAGGAACCTTATTCAGCATAGCAAATATTGGACATACTAGAAGTTATATATGAAGGATTATAAGTTTCCCACCTTCCATTTAAATGTTGATTGGCAGTACATAGAGTAGGCAGCCAACTTTCTTCCAGGTTAACTAAGCCACTTCACAATCCCTGATCATGCTGACTGGAATGATGGAATGTGTAGATCAGTGCATCTGACTGAGCACCAGATTGCAGCAGGCAATTCTAGATTGTAGGATCTCGTTTATGCTAGCAGATTGGACTGGAGTCCGACAAGGATAAAAGAACCTTCTATGCATTCAAAACTGAAATATGGTGGCAATTTTTCTTCCTGTTCTAGAAATTCTATATTTATCATATAACCTTGCAAACATCTGTTTTCCAGGACCAATCCCCCTCTTCAAACAATTCAAACCATTCAACTTTTGATCAATTTGTAAAAACAAGTTTTTTTATCCTGCCCCTTGCCAACAAATAAACACATCAGTAAGCACTTGTTTGCAGAGATTGTTTTCATGATTTTAGGCTTAGTCCACAAAGAAATGTTATTTGCCCATGAATGATGTATAATTCATTCTAAGTGGTAGCAAACTCTGTTTTGCTGCCTTAGAAAGTGTACTATTTCTTATTTTCAGGGAGGCAAATGAGTGTGGGCAGAAGAATTGATAAACCTGCCAAGACAAAGGGAAATTTACTTTGATTCATGACACAGTGCCTTATTTGTGGATCAATATAAATCTAATAATTTTTTGTTGTTCTCTTTTGATTTTTTTAAGCAAAGGTGCAATCAAATATACTTCCAGCAATAATAACTTCCTATTTCCTAAATCTAAAACAGTATTGAAACTGTTACAAAAAGGACTTCTCTAAAATCCCAGCAGTTTCACTGGGAGTTATGTAAGTACAGTAAAACCATCTATTGACAAACAACCACGTGTCTGAATGCCATATAGAGAGAAATAATGCAATATCTCAGAGATATGAATAGAAATTTGACTTGAGAAAAGGATTGGCCAAAATTAGAACAATCATTTAGCATCAATAATGTTGTTCCAAAGAACAACATTACAGACAGACAGAACAATATCTGGATGATTTCCATCATTAAAAAAAAAACTCAAAATAAAATGAAAAAAGGCAATTCAGAAATAAATTGCATCCTTAATGCTGTGAAATGAGCCCAGATATACGCCAAGCAATTGCTAAACTGATGCATTTATTACTTGATTCATGTACTTTCATCTCTTTAGTTTCATGCCACAACCAGAGTTTTTTTGTATGAAATGCAGGACGACTATGACTTACCTTTTTCTACAATAAATTCTATGCATGCATGACAAATCCAAACATGCAAAATGTTTAATACCCTAGTTCAGAGATACTTCAGGGACAAAATCCAATTATGAGTTATATACCACAATAAATAGGATTCAGCATTTCACAGAGCAATTCATAATTCATAAAAACAACAAAATGTACCTGTCAGATAGAACCCGGAGAGCAGATTGCTGTGCTGCCTGCTGGAAAGAAGGGCAGAGGTGTTTATTTTATAAAATAACTTTTAAAATATGAGCTCAATCAACAAATAAAAAATGTGTCAGCCACATTCTTGTCACATATACAAATTTTATAGGATTTACAAGTAACACTATAGCCTTCTGGCTATTTTCCAGCTATTGTACACCATGTAAAAGCAGTTTGTTAGGTTAACATCACTGAAATGTTAAAGAACTTACACAATCTGAAAAATCCTATTTGGAAGGTTTTTTTTAAAAAAAATGAGAAAATATTTTCTTTCGTTTGCACCATTATTTTATCAATTGTTCACTTAGCAAACTGTTCAAGGATGGCAACAAGCATCCTAAGGCACAGTTGTGATTCATAGCCAATTTTAACTTGGCAAATTTTAACAGGGCTGCAAATAAGTGAATGAACATTGGTAAGTACCTTATGGCTATATGGTACCTTATTGGCTAACGTAGGAAATACGTTAGCATGGAAATCTCTTGCAGGGGGTAAGAAACGTCTCAAAAAATAACAGAAGATTCAGGTTTAATCAGATGATAACTGACTTTCCATTTCATTGCTGATCTTTTGTGGACCTATTCTCTAGCTTCACTTGTATGGTACGCCAGACAGGAAGCATGACCTGATGAGCTAATTCTATTTATTGTAAGGCTACATTAACAGAATCTTGCAAGTCTGAAAGTACAAATCTCCCACATCTCTTTTTACAGCCTGATCAATTAGGATGGGTCCTTCTTAAGTTTCTTTCTCTGTTAAGCAACTGCAGGCTCCTCCCTCTCTTGTCTGATTATTCCCTAGGCAACATCTCTTTACCTTGTCCCTCAACATTATTCCAACATGCCATTATATCACTTTATTACCTGCAGATATCTATAAAGTAGGAGTTCTCAATCTATGGGTCAGGATCCCAGGAAGGAAAACAATTGGGTGTAAGGTGTCACAATTTCTTATTAAACTTAATCAGACATGCAAATGAAGTGGACCAGTATCAAAACTCACTGTAAGCTTTTCAGAATTTCAGAATTCCAGATTATTCATGCAGATGAAAATGTAATTATGAATATAATAACTTTATTGTCACTTTGAATGTACACTAATTGGCATACATTAAAATGAAATTTCATTGCATACAGTTCTCAAAGGGTCGCCACCTCTGATATACAGTGCATAAATATGACAAAAATAAATAAATACAGAATTATGCATATACCTACATATATTATATGACACAGAGAAACAACAGTCTAGTTCGGGTTATGTATGTATGTGTATGGCGAGAAAAGTGAATCTTGCAAGTTTACCAGATGGATGGCACAGGGAACAAAGCTATTACAGAATCGAGTAGTTCTTCTAGAAATACTTCAAAACCTCCTCCCATAAAGTGGGTGTGTGGGGTCTCTAACAATGCTTTGAGCTCTAACCACATAGCACTTATAAACTGCATCCTGAATACCAGGAAGTGAGTTTCCTATGATCTTCTCGGCTGTCCTTACCATTCTCTGTATGGACCTTCTATCTGAGGCATTGCTGCCACCAAACCAGGCAGTGATGCAGTTTGTAAAAATGCTTTCAATCGTGCCTCTATAAAAAGTGGCCAGGACAGAAGGAGAACACTAACTGCAATGAAATCATTAATGTTATTAAGTAGGTTTGGATGGGTCTTATGCAAACTTACCATTTTAGGTGGTGACATTATATAACATTTGAGACCCCCTGCCCTAATGGATTATTGAGTCTAGTTTGGGCTTCATCCATTCTGGAATGTACCATTTCAGTTTATGATAAAGAGTTTTTATTAAAAAGTATACTTTCAAAAAGACATTAAGTGTCAGGCTACAAAAATCAAGGAAGACATGCTGAAGTTCTTCTAAGCAGTTTCCTTTATTGTTTCTCACCTATAGACAGAAATCTTGCCAAACTAAAGCAGACTGCTGCACCATTAAATACTGTATATATTCTGAGAACTCTTAGAAAGGAGCTGACTTAACTCTCTTCCTCTCACACCAACTGTCTAAATTTTTCTGTCTTTTGCTCCTCTAGAATGCACTCTTTCCCTCATGGGAATCTGGACTACATTCTATCGTATCATGTTACTGTACTTTGCCTTACTGTCAACACTTTGTAACATATTGGTGTAGTCGATCTTTGATATTTTTATTATAATTTAATTGTATCCAAGGAACCTGATATGGTACATAAAGGTAAAGGTTACCTTGTCAGTCGCGTCTGACTCTAGGGCATGGTCTCATTTCCGTTTCTTGGCCAAGGAAGCCAGCGTTGTCCAAAGATAATTTCCATGATCATGTGGCCAGCATAGCTATACGTCAAGGGTGCCTAGTCCCATCCTAATTTATGTGCATTCTGTGCGGTAGTGGCCTATAGTGTTTTTGAGAGTTTCAGGGATGAGCTTCTTCATATTCTTCATCTAACATTCACTATGTGTAACATAATTCATATACACAATGTATAGAGCTTGAGGATATAAGGTGCAACCAGCTTCCTCACATTCAGGTTGGATAGCAGAAATTCAAATTCTATGATGGAAGAAATTCAAGAAAGTGATATATTTGAAAGGGAAGTATACTATAGAAGCATACCTCCTATCTCCACAGTCGGCATGCAGAGCCCTCTCTGTGGGCACGTGCACCATCGCCCCAGTCCTAGGCCTTCAGTCCTGTCCATGAGCAACCTGCATCAATACCCGCGCAGGGTAAGGTTGCCGTGCCCGTCCCCACCTCCCCAAGCATTTTTTTTACTAACCTGCCTTTCAGCTGCATTGTTTCTCGGTTCGCTTCTCAGCCTTCGCCGCGTGTTTGTGGGACTATCGATAAAAAAAAAGTTCCATCAGACTTTCTAACTTCTCATGAGATGTCAAGAAGTTAGAAAGTCTGATGGAACTTTTTTTTTTTACCGATAGTCCCACAAACACGCAGCGAAGGCTGAGAAGCGAACCGAGAAACGGAATGCAGCTGAAAGGCAGGTTAGTAAAATGACGCTTGGGGGAGGCGAGGGCATCTGGGCGGGGTGGGCGCAGCAACCTTACCCTGCATGGTGGCGGGAGGGTGTGGCGTGTGCCCTTCCTATGCTAGGCCAGCCCCTGCAGCTTCGGGGCGGCCATGCTGGGCAGCGGTGGGCAGGGTGTTGAGGTGGGGGCCAGCAGGCCGACTAAAGCAGCAGGTGAAGTGCCGGAGGCTCGGGAAGGGAGGGCACTGAAGTGGGCAGTCAGGCCATTGGCAAGAGCAATGCGTCGGAACAAGTGGAGCAGGTAAGGAAAGAAATCCTCGCTTCCCCCAGAAATTGCCTTTCTTTCCTTACCTGACTTCCAGCCCCGTGCTGTTTCTCTTTCACAATCCGCCGCCGCCGTGTGCAAGGAAACAAAGGAAGTTTTTTTGGGGAAAAAAGGTCAATCAATCAATTCCAACTTCTCGTGAAAGATTGCGAAGTTGGAATTGATTGATTGATTGACCTTTCCCCCCCCAAAAAAACCTTTCTTTGTTTCCTTGCAGGTGGCAGTGGCGGATTGCAAAGGAGAAACAGCACGGGGCTGGAAGTCAGGTAAGGAAAGAAAGGGGGGGATGAGGATTTCTTTTCTTACCTGCCCCACTTGTTCCGAGGCCGCCTTCCGCTCAGACGTGTTGCTCTTGCCAATGGTCCAACCGCCCACTTCAGCGCCCTCCCTCCCTGAGTCTCCGGTGTTCCACCTGCTGCTTTGGTGGCTCTGCCTATAGAGCCACCAAAGCTGTAGCTGAATGGGCAGGTGAGGGGGAAACCTGTCCCACTTGTTCTATGGCCGCTTTTGACCAAGCCGCATTGGGCACAATATGTGAGGCGGCAAAAAGCTGCGTCACGCTGAAAACTGGCCATTTGCCACCTCCTACCCAATGCCACTGTCATGAGGCCACGGAACAAGCCAGGCGATAGTAAGAAACTGGTATACCGGGGTTCCAGTTTGTGCTTATAAACTGGCGGACATGTGGGGCAATCGCTCTCTCCGCCATCTGATTTTCTCCCGCCGGGGGACCCTGAAAAGGGTCGGAAGTTGCCCTGGAGGGGTGACGAGTGTGAAGAGGACCTCCAATTGATTGCAGAAGGGCGGCAGCCCTTCCGTTTGATCCAGAGCAGCTCTTCGAACTGATGGGAAAAAGATCAGCCATTAATATGGCCCATCACTAAGCTGTTACCAGCCGAGGCCAAAATTACTATCAAGCACTTCGAAAGCACCATGGAGGAATTGGGTGAGATCTTACCTTCTTTGTATCCCAAGTATTTTCCTGTAAAAAACTTCTTGAAATTTCTTCCCCCTGTGAGGAGAGAGGGAAGGGAATGTCTTCCTCCCACCCTCTAAAATGGCGGCATCTGACTACTTGGGAAAATAAAGCCTTGAAAAGAACAACTAAGTATTTGGATTTGCATCTTTTTGATATTTGGGGATCCAAAAAGTTCCTACTTTCACGGGGATCTGTTACCTTATCTACTTGTAAAAAAGATGAAAGGATAAAAACCCAGCACATCCTGAAAAAGACTATAAATGCTATTGGGGACATCTTGTGGCAAAACTTGGTACAGCAAGTGAATATTCTTGACCAAGAGACCTGCTTTTACAGCCCAGACCTGTCCTTGGTATTGTCTAAGAGAGATAAAAAGCTGAGAGAACAGCTGGACGGTGAAATTGGCTTTCAGGAACTGTGGAGGTACTGACTCTTGTTTAAAAAATAGCCTCCACTAAAGGACCATTCATAACTATCTCAGAAATGGAGGACGACCAGCAACAAATTTCGGCTAATTACAAACTTATACTTGAAAAAATTCTTGAAGCCACTGAGATAATTAAATCTAGACTGAAAGACAAAGGCGCCAGCTTAAACCTACAAAATGAAACCCTGATTCCAACTAAAGAACTTACAATTCAAAAAACAACAGAAGTGGAAGAAATTAATACCAAGACAGAGGACTTTAAAGAACAACAAGTACAACACACTGAAAATTTTGACAA